GTGTTTTTTTAGTATGGCGGGGGACCTAAAATGTTTAAAGCCATAATTTCATCAGAGTCTTTTTCAAGTTGTAACCTATTCCTTGAGAGGCATAGAGCTGGCATTGTCACTGGAAGAGTTTGTAGGAGACAGTTATTCATGGTTGGTTTGTTTTTTCTGTTTTGCCATTTAATTTAGACGATTGGGTGGCAGGGGGGATGTTTTTGTTTTCCAGCATATCCTGTAATTTAGAGAAGTGCTGAATTGAGTCAATAAATCACTAGTAAGTCATTCAAATAAGAGATTTCTGCTTTTAAGACATTTGGACACCCTGAAACAAAATTATTTGATTGCTCCAGACAAGTGAGTTTTGGAAAGGCATATGTTTTGAGATACATACTAATGTAAAGCGTGCAATTTCCATGTTTTCCTATATACTTTTATAAGATTTTAATGGAATATACAATATTAATTTTGTTTCGGGACTCTACATGTGTAATGCTTTCTTCACATGAAACTTTACAGTAGGCAGCTGTACATGGCAGTAGGGCCAGCCAGTATAGATGTATCCTGGCTAGCCTGACGCTTTACCGTACAGCAGTTGCTTTACAAGAGAAAAGGTAATTATGCTAGGAAGTGCTAAAGTCAGAAAACAGTTCTGCTTTTTTAGATAGCTTATTTTGAAGAACATGATGAGAAGAGTTGGGCTTTCTGTCTGCTCTCATGTCCTTATCATGTAGTTTAAAAATGGTAGAAGACTTCTCTCTTGCTGCTATCTCATTGCCACTGCTCAAGAGATCTACTGTGATTAATTTTTTTTCTAACAATTGATGCCCTCATGATATAAAGACTGCATCCAAGCAAAATTGAACCTAATTTTTAAATTGTTACCCCCTTGAAGAATGCCTTAATTTCCCTTCTCACAAAGCTTGGAGACTACAGTGGTCTTCCTGTAGGCTGAAGTAAGGGAAATGCCTTGATCTGCCTATCTTTGCATGGCTTTCTTCCCAGAAATAAAGGAAGCATTGATCTCTTTATTATATTACCTCGGTTGTTGGTTGGAAGCATAACTGTTCTAAAGCATCTTTACAACTTGGAGGGGGGGGGACAGGTAAAATTAGGCCAGACTAAACAGCATTATGCTCTATATGGCAGCAGCCAAGCCCGTACCACAGCCCTGCCTCAGCACCTGCTGTCACGTGTCGAGTTTGGGTGCCAGAGGATCGTCATCAGCAAGAAAATAATTTTTCTTTCTTTTTTTTTTTTTTAAGAAAGCCAAATAATGTTTTCCAACCTGTACTGAAATCAGCCAACATCTGCTTGACCCTAGCAATTGTTACAGGGTTGAAAACAAAAAAAGCAAATCAAACTGCTAATCACTAAAGTATTATTTAAAAAAAGAGAAAAAAGGAATAGGACGAACTGGATCTGGGAGGTAACTGGCAGCAGCCCAGCTGCCTATCTGTGCCGTTCTTGATAGTCTAGCATTCAAGCAAGCTGAAAGAGAGATAGCTGCATAGCAGAGAGTGATTTTAAAACAGAAGGAAAATACTAGTATTGTACAAATACACCATCGTGAGCTACACGTGGCTTGCTATCGTGAAATTTCAAGTGGTCAAGTATATTGGTAGTGCTCTTCATGCAGAGGATGAAGAGGATGGCAGCTTCTGTCACGTCAGAGACGCGGAGGTCTTCACTGCTCAGAAGCCAGGGCGCTTCTGGTGTCGGCGCAGCTGTCTGTCAGGCGACTGTCAATATTTGCAAGTTTATCGTTCTGTCCACATTGCTGTCTCGGAGCTTTTTTCGCAGTTGTTGGTATTGGCAAATCGGTGCCTTCATCTTGAGTGACGTTTTAAAATTGATGACAGGACGGAAGTTGTCTGGTACTGCTTTTTTACTGGGAGGTTTCACAGATCTGCTGTACGGTGGAGGTCTGGCCCGAGCGCAGCAGGGATCAGCACTTGCTGTTTTTATTCTCAGGTATGCAAAGATACTATTGCAGTCTCAAAGCAAGCACAACAAGCCTTGATCTTTTTCTTCGGGAGGGGGATGCACGAGCTAAGGAGTAAGAGAGCCGATAATTTCCCCTAAATTTTTATGATCGATCTGAGAATGAATTTCTGGCAGAAGCGTATTTGGGAAGTAAGTTCCTGTTAAAGTTTTCTTGAAGTGGTTTAACACACATTGATTTCTGAGTGTTATTTATGGTTTAACTAGGGGATGTTAAGTTTCCCTCTAAAAAGACAGGTTTGCAATGTCTTTTGCTGATATCTCCTCCCGCCCCATCACATGTCGTACAGCTAAGGACCTGCTGAGTTTTCCCGCTGCTTCACGTTTTACCTCTTGCCTAGAACCGTGGTGTTTTTCAATCCTCTGTGTTTTACCATTGTAGACTTGGTGTCTACGGTACAGTAATATTCTCCATGCTTCAAAATTAGGGCAGTTCTTCATTTAATTGTTTGCTGTGGTCAGGAACTGACTAATTTTCCTTCTGCTGTTATGAAAATTCTATACACAAAAGCTGTGGTAGGAGAAGACTACCAGTAGTCAATTAAAAAAGGTCTCATTTAAGATTGCCCCTGGAAATTGAATTCATCATCTTTACTTATGCACTGTGATAGCTCAGGCCCACTCTCATTGTTTAAAGAGCTTCAGGACTTTTGCACTTGTTTACAAGTGTTTCTCTGATGAAATTACCTTTTTTCCACTAACCGTGTTCCTAGAAATGGTTGCGCTTATTTTTGCTTCAAATGTCAAAAACAAAAAAGTCGATTTTTTTTTTTTTTTTTTTTTTACTGTTGAAACAGGCAAGTGGTGTTATAAGTTCCAAGTGATCAATGGTTTATCAAATGCTGTTTCTAAGATTGCCCCTTAAATATGAGTTTCAGTGCTAGCTTTGACAATAACTATAGGTATTTGATGTCTCTAATGGTTAAAACGTAATCCCAGATCATGTATTTATAGGCAGTCTGGCTGCATGAGCATATAACTGACATGTTTGAAGTTCATCCCTGCAGGACTGCTGGATAGATAACTACTTCTTTGTCTCTTAGTTGAATTTCTTGTGTTTTGGATAGATCCCAGCACGTTGGCTGGTCTGACAGGGAGGCGAAGGAAAAGCCTCTTGCCCGTGGGCTTAATATATGAAATATGCACTTGTCCCTGGCAAGAGAACCACTGTTGTAGCTTGGCACTGAAAAATGCCCACATGTTTTTGCTTCCCACATGAGTAACCTGTAGAAGTAGATGTGGGGCACCATGGGGGGGTCAGTAACCTCCGATGTAGGTGTCGGGGATAGCACGTGGACCCATTTTGAGTAGTGGAGTGAGGGGATGGGAAGCAGTGGCATCTTGCAAGAGGCGCTTTGAGGATAACTTTCTCCTCCAAGCTCCCCCTTGATTTTGGGTAGGGTGATTGTTGCTACTTGCCTCTCTGAGGCTGCATCTGCTGCTTTGCCCGAGCTCAGAACTTGCAGTACTGGAAGGAAGAGACCTACAGGATCGCAAAGTGTCATTCGGCTCCTTTTCGAAACCCACAGCAGTCCATGAGGCTATACGGCAGCTTCAGTGCTTCCTCCTTCTCATCACCTTTCTGGAGGTAAGCGGTGGTTTACATCAAACACGTGCAGTCCATTTCTCCCACATACTTAAGGCCAGTGAAGATCTTTCTCAAGGTGCCTGCCGTAGTATTGCTGCTTCCTCACACATCCTAATGTGATAGGAACTTGCATCCTTTCTTTTTCCCCCATGTTGCCAAACCTTTT